TATTTTTAAAAAGTAGCAACTTTATAGTTTAATGATTTAATTAAGTCTTGAATATTGTAATAAAAAACTTTATGAATATTAAATCCTTAGAAAAAATGAAAAAAATAAAATTGATTTAATTACACTTAAAAAAACAATAATTGAGCCAGCTTTATTTTAATCTAAACAGGAATAGGTATTATAATATTCTATTTACTTTTTTTACTTATATTTTTTAACAAGTGTGCTTTAACAAGCTTATATGGAGATTGTAAAAAAGCTATTGGAAAAATAAATGATTAATTACATTAATTAAGCTAAAATGTATTTTAATTCATGATTTCTGCTCCTCTTATTAAAGATTAGAATATTCCTTGTGGTCATACTGTTAGATTAAATACAACCTTTAAATAGAAGTTAATAAGTAAATTTTATATTCAATAATTAAGTATTTATAGTCTTTTTAAAAGACATTATGACATGCAAAATGAAAGAAATAAATATAAAATTCGAAATTCAAACACTAAAAAGATTTAACTAATGTCTTTAGAGAGGTTCAAAAGTAATTACTAATTAAAATATTAAGATAATTAAATTTTTTATATAAAAATTAAATTAAGTTTTTATTTATTTAATGTGATCATATTTAAGAAGAAGATTAAGGAGAAGGAATAATTTTAGAAGAAGAAGAATTACCTATAATGAAATTATATTCAAATAATTAAATAGAAAAATATTTAGAAGAAAATTGTGATAATTTGGGTTAAACTGAAATTTTAATGATTGCATCTTCAAATGCTTAATAAATAGAAAACACTATTATTTAAGCTTTAGAAAAAATAAACAATAAAATAGAAAAAACTAATAATTAATTTTATAAATGTAATTAATTATTTATATATTATTTATCCTATTTTTTTCTTAAATTAGCTCATAATGAATTTTGTGAATTAAAAAAAATACCTACTATAATCACATTTTAAATTAACTAAAGCAATAATTAATAAAAATAGCATAATAAAACTAAGAAAAAAAAAAGAAAAAAAAAATCTGAAAACTAACAAATAGAAAGTTCAGGTGAAAACGAAGATAAACCATATGACGATAAATTATATGAAGATTTTTACTTATAATTTTTTAAAGAATTTGCAATATAATCTTTTGTTATTGAATTTATTAATTAGCTTATACCTGAGAAAAATGAATCACAATAGAATTAAATTTAGAATATATTCAATAAGGCTAAATAAAGTATGCTTGAATAAACAATTAAAATATGCTAATTTATTAAAGATGAAAATTCTTTTTGCAAATATTTAGGTAAATTTCCTTCTTTAAGAATTTCTAAAGATTGGAATGATATGTACAAATAATTATATTTGTAAATTTAATTATATTTTATATTCAATAGTAAATAAGAATTTAAATAAGGAGAGCTAATTGATATTTCTTCAGAAAAACCTCCTACAAATTTAGAATAACTTAAAATAAGAATATCCGGTAGATAATTTGATACTGTTAATATATTAAAAAATGTAAAATAAAAGCCTATAAATATTTATGGAGAAGAAGGGATAGGAAAATCCGTTTTAGGTTAAATGGTACTTTAGAAAAATATATTGTTTTATTTATATATTTATTATAGGTGGGATATTATGCTTATAGTAAAAATTATTTTAGTGATGGAGTTTATTTTTTTGATTTAAGAAAACTTTAAAATTATAATTATGATTTAAAAGTTTATATGGATTCTATTTTGGGTTAAGATTTTAGTTCAGATATGTAAGAATTTTTAAAAAATAATTAGATTTTATTTATTTTTGATAATTATGACGACTTATTGACCCGTAAATATATAAACAATGAAAAAATCGAATACTTTGAATTTATATTCTTTTATTTCTAAAAGTTTTAAATAAAATATATATTAATAACGAAATAATCATTATAAAATTTTGCTTAAAAAGTTAAAGTTTATGAACCCTATTTTTGTTAAGTTATGTATTATCACTAAGTAAAATAATTATCTAAAAAAGAAGCTTTAAACTTTCTAGATTCCTTGATTAATTTATAAAATATAACAATCGAAAAAGTTACCTAAATTCGTAAAAAATTTAGAAAAATTATTAAAAATGCCAAAGGAAATCCTTAAAAGTTGCTAAATTATTTTCGATAAAATATTGAATAACCTAAAATTCCCACCTTTCAAAACGAAATATTCAATAATAAAATTAATTAAATTAAGAATTAAAGAAATGCTATAAGCTTATAGAAAACTCATTAAAAGAACAATAGTTTAAGCAGTAACGATCCTTAAATTTTAAATTGTAACTAACCATTTTAAAATAATAGCCTATAATAAATGAGTATAAGTAGAAGTGGAAAATTAAATTAACTTAAAAATATTAAAAAAATATAATTTTAAAGTGATTGTGAAAATAATAACAAAAGTAATTAAAATATTTCTTTTTATGAATAAAATAATAAAAGTATTTATAATAATTAATTTAATAACTATAGTGATTAAGCATCCTCAAAAATTGGTTTTTTAGAAAAATCTAAATTTTAAAAATAATCTTAACAACAATAATTATCAAATCAAAAATTAACTTTAGAATCTAATGATGCTTCATTTAATAATAGTATTGTTGTTCATGATATTTAAGAATCTCCTGAAGAAAAAAAAATATCTCAAGATTTTAATGATAAATATATATTTAATTAATAAAGCATTTTTTCTCATAATTAATCACATAAATAAAATAATTATTGAAAAGAAAAATCAGAATAAACAAGAAAGCTAATTAAAACATTATTATAAAAAAATTTATATGTCTTTATATTTAGTAAAAATATGAATATCTTAAAAATGTAAATATTTTTATTAATTTATTTTATAATTATTATTTGGTATTTTGAATTTTCTTCTATTTTTTTTAATCTTATATAATTATAATTTTTTTTTAAAATAAATAAATATTTATATTTAAATAAATATAACAGTTTTAAGTGAGATGATACTATTTTTTTGTAAAATATAAAAATTAATTTTATAAATAATTAAATTTAATAATTGTATGTATAAGATATAAAGATAAAAGTATTTTTTGTGGGGAAAGAGGATGTAAAAAATATGATTTGAAGAGCTAAATAGTAATTAAAAAATACATATATAATGAAATACTAAATAAAATTTAATTAACTAGATTACATTTCAAAGAAGTTCCTGTAAATAAATTAGAAAATATTTATTAGTAGGATACATAATTAAAAATGAACTAAATATAATAAAGTTTATATGCTATTTTCAGATTATTGTTATTATTCTATATTTATTATTTTATCCTACTTTTTACTTTAATTTTTATTATATAGATATCTTATTTTGGTTTTTCAATAAATAAAAAATTATTTGGTTGGATATATATATGTTTCTTATTAAAAATTAAAATATTAATATATATATTTAATTATTATTATAAAAAAATTAATTTTTTGTTTTTTGTTTTATATATTATTTAATTATATTTTATTTTTTAGAATAATATTGTTCAAGTATATCTAAAATTATTTTTATATAAACAAAAAGCTTTAAAAAAAATTAATTAAAATAATAAACAAATATAAATAATATTTATGAATTTTGATTTATTTTCTTTTATTTTTTAATTTAAATTATAATATTTTTTTTTATTATTTATATTAATTTACAAATAAAATACTTAAAATTAAGATAATAATTAAAAAAAAAAATAATATTAATAATTAATCTGAATTTTATAAACGAAAATATAATCTCAAAAACTGCTATACTGTTAGCAATCTCTAAAAATATAAAAATAGTTTAACAAAATATAAAATAAATATATTATTGATTTGAATTGTTAATTAAATTAATTTTTTTAAAAAAATTACAAAGAAACAAATTAAAATTTGGTTGATATAATTACTAAAATCTTAATTTATGCTGCAACTAAAAAATTTACACTTTTATAAGCTTATCCATAATTATTTTGATGAATTAAAAATAAAATAATTTAAAAAAAACATAAAAAATTAACAAATTTGTTTGATTTTTGATTTACAAAAAAAATTATAACATAAATTAATTGAATACATTATTAATAAAATAAATATTTCAAATTTATTAAAAATAAATAAATTAAAAATATATTTCAAATATTTATTTAAAACATTAATTTTTAAAAAATATATATGTTTATTTAATTTTTAAAGTAATATATGTTTTCTATATATAATTATTATAATAGAGGGAATATAAAATAATTAGTATTTTATTGAAAAACTAATACTATCATCAATAAAATAATGAAAACAAAACAATTGAATTATTTAATTTTAAAAAATTATATATTGATTTTATATAAAAAATAGTTTATTAATTAAGATAAAAATAAAAAAGATTTAAATATAATTTCAATTACATAATTTATAGATATTTATATTAAAATTATGTTTTCTAAATTATACTATAATTTTATTAATTTTATAATTTTTTTTAAATCTAATTTTTTTTTAATTAAATTTAAATAAATAAATATAAAATTAAATATTATGTTATATTTTTAATTACAAACTAGTAATATTATTATTTATTTTTGAATGATTTATATGTATTTTATTAATAATAACTTATATACATGCACATCATAAGCTAACATGAACATAAATTTAAAAGTATTTACAAATACATTTATTTATCTGTAATAACAAGTAAAGAGAATTCATAAATGTTAAAGATATAAATAAAATATAAAATAGATAATTTTTTAAATACAAAGGAGGAAAAAAAATAACAATAAATAAATTATAAAAAAATATATCAAATTTTTAATATATAAAAAATATTTTATATTTTTAAATAATAATTAAAAAAAAAAAACTAAAAAAAAATTCCTTTTGCAAACAGTTTTTACCTCGTTGATGCAACAGAAAACTACCGTTGAATAATATTTATTTGCTGTTAATAATAAAATAGCTAATAATTGTAAAAAACTAATTTTAAAACCTTTATATTAATTCTCAATAACTCGCAAAACCTACTTCCTTAAAGGTAATGATTCAAGAAAGCTAAAAACTACTCAATGTGAAGAGCTTTTAAAATTTGTTAACTAGGACTAAAAAGGTTAATCTTTTCTTGTTTACAATTCATTTGAAGCTCTAAGAAAGCTCAAATCTTGGCAAGATTAATTGCTTTGGATAAGACCTTTTTATGCTTTAAAGTATAACCAAATATCTCCTTTAGTACATGATTTGACTTTAAATGGTGCAGGCTTAGATGTGTCTTCTTAAGAAGAAATAAGGTAAGGCTTATAAATAGGTGTAAATGCAAGAGATATTATATATTCTAATCCAGTAAAAGAAGAAAAGGACATAATTTATGCTGCTAAAAATAATGTTCTTTACACTACAGCTGACTCTTTTAACGAATTACTAAAAATTTAATAATTAGCACCAAATATGAAGATTTTATGGAGAATTTCTATTCCTGTGGATAATAGTAAAGAGATATCAACATCATTTTTAATAAATTTGGAGATGATATATTATCTATTGAAAATGCTAAGTAAATGCTCAAATACATAGCCTAAGAATTATAGGTAAACCTTCATGGAATTTATTTCCATTTTGGAAGTAGTAAAAACGTATCTAGTTCTTTATTAAAATCAGTCAATATGGCTATAAAATGCATCGAAATAGGCCGATAATATGGACATGAAATGGAAATAATTGATTTTGGTGGAGGGTATCCTGCAGGAGATTTAAACTCAGATGTAATTAATACTCTTAAACTAACATAATAAAATAAGTTAGGATATAAAGTTATTGCAGAACCTGGAAGACATTTTTCTTAGTAAACGTGCTATTTATTTACAAGAATTCTTGCAAAAAGAATTAAATAAGGTAGGTTATGCTATTATTTAAATGATTCTCTTTATCATTCATTTAATTGTATTTTAATGGATGGAAATACTTTTGAAAATAATAATGAATAATTTTATAACATACTTGATAATGTAACTAATTAATAATTTGGAATTTACAAAGAAAATATGATTGAAGGTTCTTTGTTTGGAATGACTTGTGATGGATTAGATGTAATTGCTAGAAATTTAAGTATTCCTCAAGATATTAATGTTGGAGATTGGCTATGTTTTAATGGAATGGGAAGTTATACTTATGGACCTAAAAGTAAGTTAAATGGAATGAAAAGCACAACAAGAATTTTTTAATGGAATTCTGATATTAACTAAAAATAAGAAGACTAAAATTAAATTGGTCGATATGAGTTCCATTTTGTTTGGAATCCAATCCTAATGTCATGATTGAAACATTAAAATCATTTTTTTTCATTTAATAGACTAAAAAATATTATTTAATTTTATTATTTTGTTGATTTTTATCTATTTGTCTATTGATTTTATTATTTTCAAATTTTTAACTATTTTGTGTTTATTTGATATATGATATATAGTATAAATTAAAAAATTAATTTTTATTTTAAAACAATAAAAAAAATATTTTAATAATAACTTTTTTTAGATATATTTTGATTTAGAAATTTTTTATCAATTTTATTACCTTTTATAATAAAATAAAAAATATTTAATTATTGATAAAAAATAGTTTAATGTAGAGGTGTTTATTATAATATATAATAAATATTAAACTTATGATTTTTATATAAATTATAATTGATTTATAAATTTTAAATTTTGAATTCCTTTCGTAGAAAATATAACTAATTAAAGTAAATAATATAATATTTATTATATGGCTATCAAATAAAAATTTATATAAAATAAAAAATGGTATTTTATTAACTAAATTAAATTTACTAATATTTAAGAAAATTATTTTATAAATGTGTTTTATTAATTAGCAAAATAATAGACATAACTTAATAGTTTAAAAATGTTTATTATTAAGCCTTAAAAACAAATATGTAATTTAAATAATATTAAAAAATGATATTTATGCTTTAAATTTTAAATTTATAATAAATCTCTAAACATTTATTTTTGCTGATTCATATATTATTTTACAAAATCTATATATTTTATTCAATTTACGCAATTCTTCTCTTTTATTTAAATAATTTACTTTTTTATTTTATTTTATTTTATTACTTCGTAATTATCAATAACCTAATATTATTATTCTAAATCTAAGGCCTTTTAATATAAATCTTCTATAATTTCATTTTTTTTGTTTGCACATTCTTAATTAACCTTAATTTTTATAAATAATTGAAGTTTTTTATTTTTACAGAAGAAATAACAAGTTTATTTTATTCAATCCTGTTTCTTAGATCATCTAATTCTTCTTATAATTAGTCTATCTTTTTTATAAACAAAAATATGATTTTTTTATATTGAAAAATTAAAAATTTATTGATTTTTACTAACTATTTTTTATTTTATGCGAATTCTCTATAAAAAATATCCATTAATAAATAATATAAAATAAATAAAATTTATTTGATATTTTAATTATTTTATTTTATATTAATTTTTGATTAAATATATAATTCAATAATTAAATTTCAGTATATAAACAAAAAACTTTATATTTCTTATTTTAAAATTTATACATTTAATTTAACTATTGTACTAATTAATTTATTAATAAATATTAGAAATATAAAAAAATTATAAATAAAAATTTTATTTATTGTTAATATGGAAAATAATTATTTCTAAAATTTCATATAAAATAAATTATATTATGTAAAATCTAAGAATCAAAATATATTTATATTTTCAAAAGTATATAGATGATAAAAAATATATATAAAAACATATAAAAATAATTAAAATATCTTTTGTAATTAATTATATTTTAAAGTTATTAAGTTTAGAGGCTAAAATTGAAATAATTGAAATTAAAAAAAAAATTAATAAAATAAATTTATATTTAATTAAAAATTCAAGACTTTTTAGTTTTTTTATTTTAATTTATTAAAAGCATATACTTTTATAATATAAGATTCTAAATAAAATAAAATTTTTTAAAAAAATTAAAAATTTTGTTCATAATTTTTAGAAAAATTAACTAATCTAATAAGATTTTATAATTTTTAATATATTTTAAATCCTAAAATTTTTTCTAAATATTATTTATATATAATTAAATTGAATTTTTAAAATATTTGCATAAAAATTAAATATAATTTTAAAAAATATATATAAATAAAAATAGTTGATATAAAAATTAAATAAATTTTGAAAATAATAGTATTACATTTTTAAAAAAAAATTAAGAGTTAAATTTTAGACGAAAAAAAGTAAAAAAAATAAAAAAATTCTATGAGGGTAATAAATAATTATAATATAATTTAATGTAATATTAACACGTAAAATAATGTAGAAAAAATCTTTAAAATAAAATTAAATATTATATTAAAAAATTATGATTATTTAAAATATAAAAATATATATATTTATATATATATTATAAATATTTTATTATAAAATTAATTTTTTTATAATTTACTATATAAATTTATATATGTTTTATTTCATTATAAATATAATTAATTATTTTTTTATATAAATTAAGCGTTTAAAAATATAATAAATGTATAAATTATATATAGAATTTAAAAAAAAAATATTAATTAATTATAATACAAAAATATTTTTTTATATTATTAAAATATATTAAATAGATATTTTAATTATTAAATAAAAAATATATCAATAAATATGATATTTTATAAATAAAAATTAAAGAATTTTTTATTTCTTAATTATATATTTAATTATTTATGATTCATTTATTAATTATTGTTATATTATTTAACTTTCTAATTATTTAATATTATTTTAAAAATATTTAAATTATTATTTAAATAATAATAATTAATATTAAATTATAATTTATTATTTTTTTAACCAGTATATTTTTTAAAAATTCTTTTTAATTTAATAATTATAAAATTAATTATATAGCCTTATTTAATATGAAAATATATCCTTTTTTAATCAGAATTTTATATAATAAAAACATTTTTAAATATTTCAGATAATTATAAATTCAAATGTAAAAGAATATAAAATAAATAAAATAGAAAATATTTAAAATAAAAAATTACATATTTATTTAACTATTGTTTTTATATTTATAGTAATAATATCTTAATTTTTATAGAAATAAGTATTTTTTTTAATCTAATTTATATTGTTATTATTTTCTTAAGCTAATTTATTATAATTTAATTTATGATTGTAAATTTTTATTTTTATAGTATTATTTGAAAAAAAAATTATAAAATAATTTATTAAAATGAAAAAATTATAATATATTAACTTTATTGATAAATATAATACATAAATAAACATATTTTTAAGTTATTTATTATATTTTTTTTATTTATAAACCTTTTAATAATAAATATATTAAAAAAATATCAATTATAAAATATTTATAATCTTATTATTATCATAATATTGAAAGACTTATTATTTATAATTATGAAAATTATTATTATTTTATAATTTTATTATTTAACTATTTTGAAAAGATATTTTTTATCATTATTGTTAATAATTAATTATAATTTTTATGAATTCCAAATATATAAAATCATAAAAAATAAAAACATATAAATTTTAAGTAATTAAAAAATAATGATATATAAAAAATAAAATTAAATAAATATAAAAATATAATAAAAAATATAATTAATTATATTATATAAAATAAATTAAAAAAGCTAAAATTTTAATTTCTTTATTATTTTTAATAATATTTATTTATAAAATATTATTTATTTATTATTATAAAAATATTTATATTATTTTTATTTGTAATAATTTTAATTATATAATTTATTACTAATATTATTATTACAAATAACTTATTATGCATACAATCAAAATTTATTTTTTATAAACAAAGCATATAATTGATAAATTTATTAATTTTTTCATATATATTTCTTTAAATTTTAATTTGTTATTTCATTACTAACTTTTTGATATAATCATTATATTATATGCAAGACTATCTAAAATTAATAATAATTTTTTCGATTAATTGAAAAATAAATTTTATTTATCTATTTTTTTATTAATTTGCCTTAAAATAATAATAAAATAAATATATGTATAAAATAAAAATAATCATTTTTATGCCAAAATATTAATAAGAAATAAAATTACACTATTAATTATAAATAATAGTTTTTTTTTTCTATTTTAATTTTTTAAAAATACAATTTAATAATATATATTATTATTTAAACATAAATTATACATTATTATAAAGAATTTTTTGATTTAAAAAATATTTTAATATATCAAATTTACGTGAAAATCTATATAGAAATTATGGTGTATTTTAAAATATTAATTTCTATATATAATTATATATTTCTTATTATAATATAATTAAAAAAGCATCAATAATCTACGTAATATTATATAAAATACTCTATTAATTATCATATGAAATAAATATCTATTTTCATAAAAAAATCTTTACATGTGTTCTAAAATAGATCTATATTATAAATAATAATATTTATATTTTAAAAATAATATAAGTAAAAAAAGTAAAAAAAAATGACAATATTTAAATAATAAGAAATTCTTTAAGAAATAAAATAAGACGTCTTATATATCCTTGACAATATTCAAAAAAATCGCTACTATCTCAATAAGTTATTTCAAAATTCTATAAATAATTACTTCATTGCTAATTATGCTGGACCTTTGTTAAAAGAACCTTTGTAACTGTAAAAAATAGATAAAATACACAAATTCATAAAAGAAAAATATTAAAACGTAAAAGGAACGAATTGTATTAAAATTCTATATGGATATATTAAATAATTAGAAAAACATGACTAAATTCATAACTTTGACAAATTTCTAATAAATAATATATTTACAAAGATAAATAAAAATCTGAAATAAAATGATATAAAAGAATGGCAAACCTAAGTTTGGAAAAGGGCAATTTCGTTATTTGTCCATTAATATATAAATTACTAACATCTATAAGATATTTTCTAAATATGGAATAGTCTTTTTAATGAAAATTAAATAAATAGAAAAAGATAATAAAACTTAAATCATAGAAAAATAAAAGAAGAAGAAATAACTGAAGTAAATTAAAACTAATTAAAATATAATAATTAAATTTAAGAATTTAAAGATAGAGGAGAAAATATTATATATAAAGAAAAATTTGCTAATTATAAAATGATATAAATAGACTAATTACCTTAAAAAATAGAAATTATATACTAATAATAAAATGAATTAAATACAAATTAAATTAAATAAAATAATTAAGAATAATATTAATAAAAAGAATAATAATAATAATAATAGTAATAATAATAATAATAATAATAATAATAATAAATATAATAACAAAAATAATTATAATAATAATAGTAATAGTAATTATAATAATTTTAATAACAATTTTTAAATTAGTAAGATATATAATTATCTTAATTTAAATAAGAGTAATAATTAATTGACGATAATTAAATAAATATTGAATAAAATCAATTAGAATAATATAATTTAAATATATAAATTGATAATATATAACCAAGTAAATAATAACTCAAAAAATAATTATTGTAAATAATTTAAAAAAATTAAGAATACAAAGATATTTTAGGAAAATATTTTGGAAAGAATAATAATAATTGTAAGATTAGCATTTAAATTAATATACAAAATAAATGATCTAATAAATATATTATATTTTAATAATTTTTTATTAAATATTTATATGAATAAATTATAATTTTTTTTATAAAAAATATTTAATATTTATTAAATATTTTTTATTTTCTATTTAAAATTATGTAATTTAATTTATAACAAATAAATCTTTATTTTTTAAAAAAATGAGTATTTTTCAATAAAATTTATTTACTAAAAAAGTAGTTCTTGTAACAGGTGGAGCTACTGGCATTTGTTATATAATTGCATAATAATTTTTGAAGCATGGAGCAACTGTTTGTATTATGAGCAGAAAACAAAAAAATATCAATGAAGCTATAGAATTATTAAAAAAAGAAGCTAATTCTAATCTAATATACGGTACAACATGTGATGTAAGAAAATTAGAAGAAATAGAAAAAGCTGTAGAATTTTTTATCTAAAAAGCTGGAAATATTGATATTTTAGTAAATGGAGCTGCGGGAAACTTTTTAATTCCTTTTGAAAAATTATCACCTAATGCATTCAGAACTGTAATTGATATTGACTTATTGGGAACTTTTCTAGTTTCTAAAGTTGTATATTCTAAATGTTTTAAAGGCAAAGGAGGAAACATAATAAATATATCCGCCTTATTATAAATATGTGGTGTCGCATTGTAAATAATTAAAAAATAATATTAACAAGTTAATTTTTTTAATTTAAAAAAATAAAGGTAAACTCATGCAGGTGCTGCTAAAGCAGGTGTAGATGCTATGACAAGACATTTAGCAATTGAATTAGGCCCTTAAAATGTAAGAGTTAATGGAATTGCTCCAGGATCTATAGATGGAACTGCTGGATTTGAGAAACTAATGCCTGGTAATGATTTATTGATTAATATTGTTGATGTTGTACCTTTAAACAGATTAGGAAATAAAGAAGATATTGCTAATTGTGCACTTTTTCTTGCATCTGAGGCTGCAAGCTATATAACTGGACAAATAATCGTGGTTGATGGAGGAGCAATGCATACATTCCCTAATTTTACTTTATTATCTGCGAAAATTAGAGACTCATTAAAATCTAAATTATGAAATAAATTCTTATACTTTAAAAATAAAATAGAATAATAATTATAAAATTAATATTTTTTAAATTTTTTTTTTATATAATTATTAATTAAAATATATTTTTTCTTTATAATTTATTTAATTTTTCTTATAATTAATTTTATTAAAACATTGATAAAGTATATAAATAAAAAAAAAAACTAAAAATGCCTTCACTCGGGATCGAACCGAGGACCGCAAGATCTTCAGTCTTGCGCTCTCCCAACTGAGCTATAAAGGCTTTATAGTAATTTTAATATATTTTACAAAATAAGCATCAAAAATTATAAGTTTTAATATAAAAGACATAATAAGGATAAATTAAAATTTAAAATATTTCTATTATGAAAATAAAAATATTTAAATTATTTAAATAAAATTCTTTAAATATAGTTTAAAATTAAAAAATTTAATAACTGCTTATACTTTATTAATATAAAAATTATTTTGTTAATTTTAGTATTATAGATTTAGTACTAAAATGTTATTGATTTTAAATTATTATGTTTTCTTATAAAAAAGATTTATTTTTTAATTATCTAAGTTAACATCGTCATTATTAAAAATTTTATGTTATCTTGGTAGGCTTAAGTTATGCTTATATTTCTTTTGTATTTAAAATTATTCCATTAAGTTTAAAATTTATTTACTTTCATGTTTTTGATTATAATTATTTTCACTATTGTTACAGCTTTAAGATTCTTTACTTTATTCGAAAATTTTGCTTAAAGAACCTCAGTTTTATAACTATATAAATAATTTATTCACAAATAATGTTTGATATTTTCTTAAATCTTAATGTAATTTAGATGTCTAGTAATTTATATTTAACCCTTTTTATAACATTTTCTTAGAAAAGCTTTAATTTTTTATAATTTCTTCCTTGTTTTCTCCAACTTTTTTATTATGTAAGTTTTATATAAATATATTTATTTTTGCAAATTTTTTTATACTGAATAGAATTTCAATCTGTTTCTGTATTTATCTTCACAAACAAAGAAACTTATATTTACTAATTAGAATTAATTAATATTTTATAAAATTGAATTTCTCGAATTAATCAGAATTTACTTCAACTATTTTAAGAAATTTCAGTATTAAAAACTATCATGAAATCGCTACATTTTGTTTAATAATATTAGGAATATCTCTAAAAATTAAAAATTCACAAATTAAATTTTTTAATATAATTTTTTATTGCAACCATTTTTTTAATGAGTTTAGAATTGAAATAGTTGATTCTAATATAATAATTATTTATATAATATAATTATTAAAATTGATTATTTAAATAATATAATAAATTGAATATATATTATAGATATTTTTTTATAAAATAAAGAAAAAGGAAAATATTTCATTGATTTTGAATTTAAAGCTTTTGATACTCCAAAATCATGATTAGATAATTGGTTAAAAAAATTAAAAGAAGAATAAATATAGTTGTCAAAAATCAGTCTAGTTTTTTTTTGAAATTCGGTTCATAATTCATTAAAAGATTAAAGAAATTAAAAGCAAATAAAAAATTTTATAATTAAAAATTATATATGCTAATATTTATTATAAAGATATATTATTTTATAATTATATTATATACTTATTAATATATATATATATATAAAAATTATTTCTTTATAATTAATATATATTATATAAAAAAATATATTTATAAATTAAAATTATTAAAGCAAATACTTTTTTAATTAATTTTTCTTGTTTATATAAAAAAAATGATATTATATTTGGTATAATTTATTGCTGCTATTTTTATTACATCAGGATTTAATTATTGTTTAAAATATATAAATATAAATGGTACTATACAAAGCCAAAAATAGTTCCATTTTTTAAGAAGAATTTAGCATATGGGATCAGGATTAATAATTATTATGTTGATGATAATTACTTCAGATTATATATATGTATATACTTCCTTTACAGGGTTCTTACTTTTTTTTTTGATACACATAATTCGTAAAGTTAACAAAAGAGTTAATGACTTCTATTTAAAATCTTTTTCTTTTTTATTGCGTCCTCATGAAATAGAAAGTTTGCCAGGTTCATTTTATTTTTTGTTAGGAGTATTTTTAAGCATTTTATTTTTTGATAAATATATTGCAATGTTAGGAATATTGATTTTAAGTGTCGGAGATCCAATAGCCAGCATTTTTGGAATATATTTTCCTTCTATGCATTTTATGGAAGGAAAAAGTTTATCCGGAACTTTGAGTTGTGGAATATTTTGTTGTTTAAGCTCACTTTTAATAAGAATATTTTATTTATAATACTAAGAATAATGCGAATATATAAATAATATGAGTTATATTGGTTATACAATATTTATTTTTTTTGTTAGCATATTAGCTGAAATAGGACCATGTCCAAGAAAATATTATTTTGATGATAATTTAACTATACCTGTGTACTCATGTAGTTTAATTTATATTTATTTTGAATATTTATAAACTATTTTATTTAAATGAAATAATCTAAAAAATTTAAAATAATTTTATTTTTTTTTATAAAAAAAAATTAAATAATAAAACTAGATTTTTTTTTTATTTTTTTTAATAAAATTTTGTATAAATATATTTAATTATAAAATAATGAATCAACATAACCTTTTTTTTTATTTTAATTAATTATTTTTATTCTTAATATTCCTCTTTATTTTTTTCAACTTTTAAATTAACTTTCCTTAGTATTTTTACTTTGCCATAGATCTTGTAATAATTTTTTTATAAGGGAATTTTTATATTTATAGTTTTTCTGAATAATAAACTTCTTCATTATTTAATATTAAATTTATAAATTTTTCTTCTTTCCAGAATTATTAGATAATTTAATATAAATGTTTATCTTTAATTCTATTAAAAATAGCATCAATAAGCATATTTTTTTCTTCTCGGAATTATTTTTGTTCGTTTTCTTCATCATCTCCTTATCTATTTTTCCCAAAAGCTTATAAATTTTGAATAGATTTAACTCTTAAATGAGTATTTGCAAATTAAATTTATTCTTCAGTTAATTCTTCAGGATGATCAATAAAGAAACTAATCATTATATTCAAGCATTTTTCATATCCAATTTAGTTTTCCTTAATATTCATCATCTATTAAAATGCCAATTTATAATTTTTCTAAACAACATTTATTTATGATAATTAAAATTTCGCCTTTTAATTCTAAGGATCTAAATTTAGAACTTCTTCATAAATTTTATACGCTTCGTTAAGATTATTTAGAGAAACATTAATCAAAGCCTTCATTATATAAAATTTAATATTTTTAGGATGAGCATAAATAGCTTTTTCTGTATAAATCAATGATTCTTCGAATTTCTCAAGTTTATTTAAAAATTAAATATAATAGTAATATGCATTTGCATTCGAGTTATCTAAAAAAATAGCTTTTTAGTACATAAATTCGGCCTAATTATTATCTTCTTCAAAACTATAAATATCTCCAATTAAAACGTATAGGTCAGAGTTTGTTTGATATCCGTTTTCAATTAAGGTAGTGAGAGTTTACAAACTTTCTGGATACATTTTTCGTTATCTTTAAATTAAATAGATTGACAAATTAAGATCATAGTCATATGAATTAAACTATCTAGCTTTTAAAAAGTTAAACAAGCAGCAATAGAAATATTCATTATGCATAAAAAGCAATCCTATATAATAATATTTTAAATAAATAGTAAGATCTTTTCTTTTTTTTAAAATCGATGAAAAATAGATAAGCTTATAAAATTCATAAACATTTTACTAATGATGCACATTTTTTGATAAAAAATTAAGAGCTTTTTGATCTTCATCTTAATAAAAATAGATAAATCCAACAATTATGTATCTTACATGATGTCCATTCATATTCAATTCAATAGATTTCAAAGTAAAATTTAAAGAATCTTCAAATTTCATTTCTTAAAAAGAGTATTCTCCTAGTCTTTAGTAAACAGCTACACTTTCTTTTGTTATCTCCAATGCTTAATATAGAATTTCTTTTTTTGCGAAAATACTTTATACATTATCTTTTAAATCAGTTTTAGTTAATAATCCTAATACTGCCCAAATTTCATTTAATTTTCTAATCCCATCATCTTCAATAGATTATTATTTTATATAACTTATGTCCAAATGATGTTCGCAAGCTTCATCATTTAAAAAATACATCCCGAATGCTAAGCCTAAGGAATCCATTACAGAATCAAAGTTTTCCCCATTTTATATTATATGAGTAAATAAAGAAATTGCGCGTTTTTCATATCCTAGAATTCGGAATGCCCAACCTCGAAAAGCTTCTATTAGTAAGCATCCTTCTTCATCTTCATTTATTAGTTCGGTTGTCTATAAAGATTCTTCATATTTTCCCCACATTAATTATATTAATGCTAGGCGGGCTTTTATAAAATTTGTGTGTAAAAACTCTTTTTAAAGACTCGTATAAATTGTTATATAAGCATTTTCATAATCCTAATTGTAATATAAATTATCACTTTTCAATATAATTTCTAATTATTAAGTAATTTAGTTGTTGCTCATTTTTTTTTCAAAAAAGTATTTAATTTATGTTTATATTTATTGTTATTTTTTTATATTTTTATAATTTTTTTTTGTTTCTTTATTGTTTCAATGCTTTTTATTTTTTTTATTTTATATTTATTTAAAAAAAAATAGCTTAAATTTAATTCATTTGATTTTTAATTTATTTTTTTTAATAAATAAAATAATTGTATGTATTTATATATGTATTATTTACTATCTTATTATAAAATATTATTATATATTTTTAGTTAATAAAAAAGAAATTTTTTTATAGTTCAAGAAATATAAATAATTTTGATAATGTTATTTAAAAATCAATACAATGAATCAAATTTATTAATAAGTATATAAAATAAAAATAGTTCAATATTATTTATATGCAAAAAGTTAAAATATTTATTAGATTTAAAATTAAAATATTTTCAGATTAGAATAAAATAATCAAATAATTTTATTCTAATGAATATATTAATTTATTTTTATAACTTAATTTCATTTCCATATTTAAAATTTTATTTTATTTCATTTCTTTTATTTATATTTAATTTAAATTTAGTTATAAATACCTAAAAATAAAATAAAATTTAAATTTATATTCCATTAATAAAAAAACCAAATTTAAGATTAAAAATATTAGAAATATTTTTTTTTTTGATAATTTTAAATTAAATTTTTAAACAAAGATATCATTTAAAAAAATTAGAAAAAAAGATTAAAGGAAGAAACAAAAATTATTATAATAATAAAAATATTAATATTAAATTAAAAATAAGAAAAATATAAATGGAAAATACAGAAGAAAATCTTCATGCAGCAGAAGAATTCAAATAAAAAGGAAATGAATTTTTCAAGTAAAATAAATTCCCAGATGCAATAGATTAATATACAAAGGCGATTTAATCATAAAAGCCCTCAACCAAAATTGCTCCATACTATACAAACAGAGCTTTTTGTCATTTAAAAATGGAAAACTACGGTCTTGCAGTCGAAGACTCAGAATCAGCTATAGAATGTGATCCTTCTTTTACGAAAGCTTATTACAGATAAGGTTCATCATTCTTAGCTTTAGGAAAATTCGAATAAGCCAGAGATGCATTTAAAAAAGCATATAAATTAAACAGTAAAGATTAAGATATTAAAGAAAAATTATAAAGAGTTAAATAAATAATTTTCGAAAGGGAGTTTGCCAAATCAATTGAAGTTTAGCATGCAGTCGTTGTAGTTAATCCAGAAGATGTGATTGTAGAACCTAATTATTAAGGTCCTAAATTAGAAAATATTGATACTGATGTTACTAGTGAATGGTAAATTCATATATTTTTTAATATATTATAGTTAATTTATTTATATTTTTAGGTGTATTTAATTAATGGAACATTTAAAAGATTAAAAAAAATTACATAAAAAATATACATGGATGATCTTAAAAAAAGCAAAGGAAATACTATCTGGATATTAGAGTTTAATTGATTTAGATTATCCAGAGTAAACATATTTTTTTTAAAAAATATATATATAATCTATTTATAGAGATGAATAACTTACAGTATGTGGAGATGTACATGGTCAATTTTACGATCTTTTAAATATATTTAAATTAAATGGAAATCCTAGTAAATAAAATCCTTATCTTTTCAATGGTGATTTTGTTGACAGAGGTTCATTTTCAGTTGAAATAATGCTTACTTTATTAGCATGGAAAGTACATAATCCCAACTGTATGCATTTAACTAGAGGAAATCATGAAACTAAAAACATGAACAAAATGTATGGTTTTGAAGGTGAAGTTGTCCATAAATATGATGCTAAAACTATGGAATTCTTCTCTGATTTATTCTGTGCATTACCTTTATGTTATATTTTAAATAAATAAGTAATGGTTAACCATGGTGGCTTATTTAGTAATGATGGAGTTACTTTAAATGATATTAGAAAAATTGACAGATTTAGAGAACCTCCAGATAATGGAATTTTTGCTGGTATAATATAATAAATTTTTTTTGTTAGTAATAAAAACATATTATTTTCTAGACTTATTATGGGCTGACCCAGTTAAATAAAATGGAAGACATCCCTCAAAAAGAGGTATTTCAATAGGTTTTGGTCCTGATGTTGCTCATAAATTTTTGAAAGAAAATGATTTATGTAAAATAATAAATTTAATTAAAAAAAAAAAAACTTAATTTTTTTTATATAGAATTACTTGTGAGAAGTCATGAAATGAAAGAAGAAGGCTATGAAATTGAAGCTGATGGAAAAGTTATTACTATATTCTCTGCCCCTAACTATTGTGATTAAATGGGTAATAAAGGTGCTTATATTATATTTAAAGGAAGTGACATGAAACCTATTATTAAATAATTTACTGCCGTGGTAAAATAATTTTATTAATTTTTTAATTTAATTTAATTTTTTAGGAACATCCTAAAGTACCTGCTATGGCTTATTCTAGAAACTTTATGAATATGTTTTGAATATTAGATTCAATTATTATATTTTTAAATATATATATATTTATATATAAATTAAATATAAAAACAATACATAAAGTATTATATTAATACATATATATTTTTTTTTAAATATAAATTTTTTAATTAATTAAATAAATTTCTTAATAAAATTAAAAAAGATATGTTATCCCAAAAAATTTACAAATATTTTAGTATAGGCACTTAATAAAGTTAATATCCATCTAAATTTTACAAATTTGCAAAAGTAAAAAAACTAAACGATACTAAATATAATAGACATTTATATGCAATACAATTAGATGATAGAAATTTATATACACCAATGAAAAATCAATTAGCAGTTCCAACATTTGAATTAGCACTAGCAATAGCACATGAATATAATATTTAAGATGAATATTTAAAACCAGCAACTATGCCTTTTGTAGCAATGGCTAAAAAAGCAATTGATATAGATTGTAATATGGATTTGAGAAAAAGTTTAGAAGATTCAGTAGGTTAATTTTTTGCAAATGATACTATCTTATTTAGAGAAGATAGTGAACTTGGTGATATATAAAATAAGAGACTAAATAATGTTATTGAATATATAAATAAACTTTTAAATATCAGTTTAGAACCAACAGAAACTTTTTTCACCAAAGAGTTGTCTGAATAAGAAATATAAAAAATTAAGAAGTTTATTTAAGAATAGGATATATGGAAGTTAATATCCATATAATAGGCAACTATAAATTGCAAATCATCTTGTTTGGGTATTTCGTTAATTAACAAATATATCGGAATTTAAGAATGCTTTGAACTTGCTAGACTTGAAGAAAGTTATTAAATTAATTAATATGGATTGGTAGAAGGATTCCATGATATAGATGAAAATACTTTGCGTCTTAATTTAGCTACAGCAAGACTTTTTAATGATTTAATAAATTTTTGAATTAAATTATTCTGTTTTTTTATATATTTTATAAATATAATTCTATTTTAGTAATTTTAGAGTTTTTATAATTTAGTATTTTAATTGGTTATTATACGTAAAATAAAAAAGATTTATGCTATTTTTATTTTTTTAATAATTAATAATTTTTCTTTATATATTTATTTAAAAATATAATATAATTATAAGAAAAAAAATTATTAATATTTTATTATTATTATAAAAATTTATCAATAATTTAATTTTTTTTTATCAAAAATAATTGTAATTAGGTTATTATTATACAAATATAAATTATTTTCTTAAAGGCTCTAAATATTTGTTTTTTATTTCATCTAAAAGACTATAATCAAAATCCAATTCTTAAAAAGATTAAATTAATAGTAATTTCATAACATCAAAATGAAAATTATTTAAACTTAAATTTTAATGTGATTCTTTAATTGATTTTCCTTAATAACTATAAATAAATATAATTTAAAATAGTTTAAATTAATTTTTATTATGTACCTTTAATCTCCTTTAAATAATGAAGTCAAATATATAATCAATGTATTTTTATGCATTTCGATATCAACACTTGCAAAATATGTGTTAATCCTTTCGTCTTTTTATATTTTTTTTATAAATAAATCAATAGCCATATTTAAATAGAATTCTCCTCCAATCCTTTCATAAATGCTTTATTTAATTGAAACAATATTATTTCTTAAAGTTTCTAATTTTTAAGATAATTTTATTAACTAAACTTAATCAATTCCCATTTCTCTAAAAGTTTAATCTAATAAAATCTTAAAAGTATCAAACTCGCTGTCTTTAATATTTAAACCTAAATGTTTATCGTTCATATTTTTTCTTCATAGCTTTTTTATTTAAAAAATCAATTATTTAAAAAATTTATAAGTATTTAATTACGTTTAATCTCCTACACAAGTTTCATGTTTTAGAAAATCAAAAAACTATTGTTTATATTTTTCAGCGTCAATAAATTTAAAATATTCTTTTAACTTATTATTATTCATAATTTTTACATAAAATCTTTCAATTGCAATTTTAATATTTTAACTATCACCTAATTCTTAAAACAAGCTTAAAGTTTTCTATTCTAAACATAACTTTTTAAATGATTAGAATATTAATAATGCTTGAGAAATATCTTAAGATTATAAATTATGTTTTAATAAACTTTAAACTATAATTTCCTATAAAACATCAAAATGATTATCTCCAAATGTAATAGTTTAATAAATTTATTTTAATTTAATTTAATCTATCTTCCTTAATTTACCAAAAAATAAATAATTTAAAAAATTGACAATAAAAGTAAATAATAATACGTATTAGGTTGTTCAAGAACAATCTATAAAATTATTAAAATTACTTATTTCTGTTAATCATACTAAATATTTTTAAAGGAAATATTAATTCTTTAATCTTATAAAATTTCATCATAAATATATTCAACAAGCTTTTTAATCCCATTTTCTCCTCCTATTTTTTCAAAGAGAGTATTTTGTTAATTAAAATTTATTAATTAAGAGCGAGAATATTCAAAACTTTTTCCAATTTCGATAATATTCTAATAATTTACATTTAGTTCTCTTGCACTATTCATTAAGTGTGATTTTATTATATTAAATTAGTTTTCGCTTATTAAAACATAATTATATTTTTAATATTTTTCTTCAGTAATACTATTTAATATAATAAATAAATTTAAAAATATTTTTTTATCTTACAATTGTTTTCCTTTAAAACAAACAGTTAATATTTCTTAGAAATATTGTTTTTCTTAAATAATATCTTAATTCCTGTAGAGATGAGAAATTCGAGCATCACATAAAAATCTATCAAATGTAAGATTTACAAGTTATTCAAGAAAAGATGCTCCTCCTAATATATAGTAATTAGATTGTTAATATTAGCTACTTTATTTTACTGTAAAAACCAAATTTTATTGGGTAATTTCAGGTTTATAAACAATACTATCCCTCAATTAATTTAAAACTTCATGAATTTCTCTAATTTTAACTTCTTAGACTTTAAATTCTCTAAAAGTATTTTAAAAAGCTTAAAGTGCTTAATCAAAATCTTAATTTGTTATCTAAAGATGTCTGTGTGTATCTTTCATGTTATTTCCAGTATAACTATAATTAATAAATTACTTTTTGTAAAAGTATATTTTTTTTTTATAAAAAAAGGAACATAAATTAATAAATACTTATTTGGACCGCCAAAAGCAAAAGCAAGAAAATTTTTTAAATTTTCTTTTAATTTTTAAATATTTACGCCTTTAAAAAATGGACATAAGGTTTAACTTCCTAAAAATTAATCGTATATTATATCAATAATTACCTCTATTCCCATTTCTCCTCCCAAAATATCATATAAAGGCATATTTTCATGGTCATTGTTTGGTACAATCAATTATTTTATGGAATAAAGTCTTTCTTAAATTTCTTAAATTGTATTTTAATCAACATTGACTTTAAAAAAAGCTTAACAAAGCTATTTTACAAAAATATAAAAATCGTTTAATTTTATATTAAATTATTAATGTGTTTTTTTTAAACTTCTTCCTCTAAAATTATCATAAAAAGCTATTTCCTTTTAATTTCCTTACATTTCAAATATATTTTTTAAGTATTCTGTTAATTTTAATTTCATATTCTTTAAATTAACTTAACTAAAATTTATTTTTAAAAATTCATTTTTTAATATGTTATCATAAAATATATTCACAGCTTCCTTCAAAATATTAATTCCACCAATTTTTTCTAAAAGCGATAATTAAGAATCTAAAGGACAAGCCTAAATACTAATAAGTAGTTAAAAAATGTGATCAGTATTCACTATTATATTTGAATTACATACATTTAAATATTAAATAAATCCCAATTTATCTAATATATATATACTTTTATATCTTTAATTTTGAAATAATCCTATTGGGACTTTGAAATTTTTAAATAATTTACCTTGAGGATCTGGAAAAATACCTATACTAAACTAAGATATTCCATTTACATTATTAAGAATTTATTTTATTATATTTAATTATTAATCAATAATAAAAATTATTTCACAGTGTCTTTCATAAAATTATTAAAATAGTTAATTATACATAATGAATTGCTCTAAAAAGTCTTAAAAAGGGTAAAACATTAATATTAAATACCTTCCTTAATAATCTTTTAATTATTTTTAAATTAAGCTATTATTCAAATAGCAACTCCCTATAAATTAAGGTGCTTGTATTCCAATTTATATTTTATGTTAAACTTTTGAAAATAAATTTAATTTATTAAATATATTTGATAATTTTAATAACTAATACATTCTTCAGTCTTTTATTATGTTTAAATTAATGTTTCTTAAGTATCTTAATATAGATAATTTGTGTTTTTACAGTTTCCCATTGTAATTTAAATTAAATTATTTTATTTTTATTTAAAATAATAAATTTTAATATAAAATTTTATAGTATAATTTATTGTTTTATTTTATTAGTTATTTTTAAATATTTTTAATTTAGTAAATTTATAATATTTTTATAAATTTGAGCTTTTTTATTTGATAAATAAATATTTCATTTCTTTAAAATAATATAATATTTATTTAAAAAGAATTAGGATAAAAAAAATAGAGTAAAAAATTATTTATATATTTTTAAATAAATTTATCAATATATTTAAAAAATAATCTTATATTAATAAATATAAAATTAATATTTTTTTTTTTACTTTTTGAATATAGAATTTTTTTAATTACATATTTTGATTTATTTTATTTTAATTTATATATTAACTAAATTTTTTCATATTTTTTTTTTTTAATTTTTATATATATTTTAATTAAGATTATTATCATTTTTATTAAAATTTTACATATTTTAATTTAGATTATTATTTTCTATTTTAAAAGATGTATATAAATATAGTCTTATTTATTTGCTTTTATATAGAAAAATCTCTTTTGATAATAGTATCAAATACAAAAAATCAAAATTAATCAATATACTTTGTTATATGTAAAAAAAAAGATAATAAAAATATATTACAATATTAAATAAAAAAATTATTATATAGAAAATAAATATATATATATATAAAATAATTAAATGTATGATTAATCAAAAAAAAAAAAAACACAATGTTTTCTAAAATAATGTTTAAGATTAAAAACTCATTCTTATGGTTTAGGAGGAATAAGATATAATAACATAATAGTATTATCCCAAAAAATATTAATAATTCCAATAGGTTGCTCGTTAAGTATTTGGGATACTGAGAAAAGAGAAAGAATAAGTTTAATATAGTCAAATAATGATATTATATAAGTACTTTTAAAATATTAAAATTATTTATTTTCAATATCTTATAGTGGATAAATATCTGTAATTGATATAAATAATGAATTTAATATAATAAATGAATTATAAACTTAAGGAAGAAAAGTAAAGTATGCATCATTAACAAATTAATTCTTATGTATTTCAAAAGATGAATTCAATGAAAAAGAAGAAGGAATAACAGAAATATTTGAAATAAAAAAGTTAATAAATCTTGCATTTAAATAAGAAGGAAATTATTATTAAATAATAGGAAGATTTGTTTATGGAACCTTAATTTAATAGTCAAAGTTAATAATTTTTGAAGAAAAAAATTAATAAAATGATTAATCTTAAAATTTAATAAAAAATAATACTTCTTTTTCATAATTCAATATTAAAAATATCTAATATGATATAATATAAATTGATTTAATAGAAAAGAATATAATTAAAAAATAATCTTTAAATTGTTCTGATTTCGGGAACATAATAAATGGATGCTCTAATGGGATTAATTTTGGTGCTTTTTTAAGTATAAATAGATATTTGCTTATTTTAGAATTGTAAAATCTTCAAATAATTGCACTTTCTAAAATATAAGGAAGCGGCTAAATATTTACCTCAAAATTCGTCGATGAAACATTATTTTTAATTCAGATAAGTTCTATTATAATGAAAATCTTTTGTTAAAAACTCTATGAAAATAATAATGAATTTCCATCACTTTTGAGCCTAAGTACTTTGAATTAAGAATTATATACAAATTGCTTTTAAATTCAAAAAATTAAATCTGATGCTATTTCCTCATAAAATTATTTTCTAGATGTTGTCAATAATTTCATTTTTACATCTAACTTTAATACTTTTTATATTTAATGCATCGATTCATAATTTGAACCTAGTTTAATAAAAATCGAAAACTAAATTAAAATTACTTGCTCTGGTCTTGCAGTTAAACCTGATTCTTGTCTTATTGCAGTTGGAGATATGGTTGGAAATATTATTGTTTATTAAAATTAAAATAATAATCCTTCTAATGAGAAATATGCATAATTTTTTATAGCTAAAGCCGTAAGAAGCTTAGAATGGCACCCAAGAAATGATGAATTGTTTATAGGAACAATGCAAGGATAAATTTATAAATGGAATTATGAAAATAATAATTAAAAAGTAAAATAAGTTGCTTATTTTTAAGGAGGAATTACAAGTTTAAGGTTTAAATGTAATGGTTTTTATATATTTTTTTATAAATTTATTAATTATATAAAGAATCTGATAATAATTTCTATCTTTTATCCTCTTCTACAGAAGAATAATTTGCTATTTTATTAGAAGAAGAAAATAATTACAAAATTTTAAATTTAGCTTATGCTCATCTTCCTTTAGAGTCATCAGCTTAGTTTGGTTCTTTAGGTAAAAAAACAAATCAAATTTAATAAAATAACATTATATAATAAAAAAGACAAATATTCGGAAATATGGTCAGCTGTAAAAATCATTACTAAATAGCAACATGCAGTGAAGATTAATGTGTTAATATTTATGATTTGAGGAATAAGTAGCCTATAAAAATATAAAATATAAAAGGACATTTATTAGCTGTTACTTGTATAGATTGGAAAGTAATTTATATTTATTATTATATCTATTTTAATTTAATTATTTTAGTAAATGAATCAATAATTAAGTGAGATTTTTATTTCTTGTTCTGATGATAAAACAGTTAAAATATATAATCCTTAGTAAAAATTTTAATTAATTCATGAATTTAATACAAATTTTGTTAATGAATGGCACACATTAACATATTTGTCTCTTGAAAATGTAAACATAGATATTAATATTTTATATTTAAATATATAAAAATTAATAGGGTGGTACTAGAGTTGCAATTGGATATCTGTTTATTTATGATTTATTAAATTATGAATTCTAATATTGTGAAAAAATCCATATGGGAGGAATTGAAGGATTAATATGGAAAAATAATTAAATTTTCACATGTTCTAATGATTGCTGTATAAATATAATTACTCTTTGAAAAAATTATATAATTAAATTTATAGATTAAAAAAGAATAAATATATAAATCTTTATATATGTATTTTTTGTTTAATTTATAACGTATTTTTCTTTTTTCATTATTAATAAATATAATTCTAAAAAAAGTAAATATTTTAAATGGATATACAATATGAATATTTATTGTCAGTAGCAGAAAACTTATTGTAATAAAGTGAAATGCCAAAAGAAATTTTGGCAAAATATTTTACTTTGAAATAAATAACACTTAAATAGAAACTTTATTAAGACTAAATACAATAAAATATTTTAATGAATTTTATAAATATGTTATAATAAACAATAGATAATGTTTAAAATCACGAATAAAATTTAATTAATTTTAAATAATAAATAGGTAATAATATTAAAAATCTATATTTCTTAATATTAACTAAAATATAGAAGGATATAATGATCTACATGAAAATTTAGATTCTTTTTATATAAAATTTGTTAAAATAATAAAATATAATGAGGAACTAAATACAAATATATAAAAAAATAATAAAAAAGAAAAATAATAAGAAATGGAATAATATAAAAATGAATTATAAGAATAGAATAAATAATTAAAATATGAAATATAAAAACTAAATAAATAGTTCGATTAGTCTTTTTAATCTAAAATAGATTTTTATTCAAATCATAAAATTTATTAATTAGAATAATAAGTTTAATAAAAAAATATTATTTTGAACAAAATTAAATAGTTTTCTTAAAAATATTAGAATCTAATAAAAAAATATAATAATAATTTCCCTTAAAATGAAAATAATGAATTTATTTTTTATATAAATATTCTTATATTTATTATAAATACTTTTGAAACTGATAATATATAACTTATATAAAAATTAGTTGGTGTTAATAAATAAAAGGAATTTAAAAATATTTATGAAAAAAAAAGTTTTTATGAAGATTTAGAATAAACATATATTGACGTAAATCATTATTTTATATTAATTAGAATTTTTTTTACAAATTATAAATTAAATATTATTATTATAAATATAAAAAAAGATGTAAAATTAAATTTAAGATTCATCAAAAAAAAATATTTATTAAAATTATTAATGAAAGATAGATAATAAGAAACATATTAATTAGAAAAAATAATCAAAATATAGAAAATATTTTATTAATTTAATTTATATATTATTTATAAAAAATATAAAATTAATATATTTATATATTATAATATATAAATTATATTATTAATATATTTTTATAATATGATTTTCGTATAAAATATATAAATTTCATTTTCTTATAAAATTAGACTTTTATAATATTTTAATGATTCTTAAAAGTTTTAATTTATAAAATATTGATTTAAATCTCATATATTATATAATATATATATTACCTAAAACTTTTATGTTCGCATATATTATATTACTTTATTAGTTTGATATTTTAAAAATATTTATAAAATAAATTTAAATTCAGAATAACTTCTTATTAATTTTATTATAATCATTTACTCCTAAAAAAAGAAACCACAATTAAGTTTTCTTTTCTTATTTGATTGGCTTTCTTTAGAAAAAATAATTTTTTAAATTATAAATAATTATTCTTAATACAACATTACAAATTATTCAAGATTTATATTAAATCTATCTTAAAAAGCATTTATAATATTTATCTTTTTATTTTATTCTCTTTATTTCAAATATTGAATTATATTAATTATAAATTAATATTAATATTTGTCTATTTTAAATTAATAATTTATTTTATTTAATATGTTTGAAAATAATATTCTTAGAATAAATAGAAAAACTTTATTTAAAATTTCAATGCTTTTTAGGTTGTAATTAGTTTCTAAACCAAAATAATTTACATATTATTTTTTTATTATATCCAGTTTAATTTCACCGTAAGTCCTATTTTAAAAAAATATTTACAATTATATTTCGGTCTGTAGATAAAGCTCTAAACAAGCTAAAATAAAATATTTCTTTTACAATATATAAATAATTATAAATGTTATATTTTTTTTATTATATTATAATTTAATTAACTAAATTTTTATATTGCAAATTAAAAATATTATAAAAATATGCGTAAATATATTTCAAAACATTTTCAAACATATAATATTTTATTTTTAACTAAAGAACTAAATAAAATAAAAGACATTAATTAATTAAAACTATATATATATTTATTTTTAAAAAGTTAAATTTAAAAATTATTATTAATATAATATATTAATTATTTTATGATTTTTATTTTTCTTTAATTTTTCTATATACAATAAAATAAATTTATCAATTTTTTTTATTGATTATATTTAAAAAAAATACAGAAAAATAAAAAATTATAAACAAATATTTGAATTTTTAGATAAATAAATATTTTTTTAAATATAATAAAAATCTTATCTAATTTAATTTAATTTAATTTAATTTAATTTAATTTAATTTAATTTAATTTAATTTAATTTAATTTCATTTAATTTCATTTAATTTCATTTAATTTAATTTCATTTAATTTCATTTAATTTCATTTAATTTCATTTATTTATAAATTAAGGATATTTAATTAAATATATAGATTATTTTATATTTTCATAATCTTCATTAATAAAGTTTTAGACTACAACTATCTTCATAAGTAAACATCAATTAGAATTTTTTTAAAATATTAATAAAAAGAAAAATATTACATGAATTTGACTAAATCATATTAATCTTAATATTAATGAAATTTATTTATAACTAATTTAATATATTATTCTTATGTATTCATTTTTTATGTTTTTTTAATTTTTTTTTTATCATGATTAATTAATATTTAAGTTTTTATATATTTATTCTTTTCGCACTTTATTTATTAAGAAAAAAAGAGTTTCAATTTTATTAATTATAATATTATTACTATTATCTTTAAAGGGGTTTTAAAATTTTATTTTTCTTAAAAAGCACAATTATCCTTTAATATTTTAATAAAAAAAATTTCTTAATTTTAATAAGCCTTTAAATTTTCAATAATTAGTTTTAAAAAAGATGAAAATCTATTGATATTAAAAAATGATTATATAAGATTATTTAAATTAACTAATTTCAATACATTTTTAAATAATTTAACATTTTCTAAAAAAAACATAAAAGGAAAAAGATAATAATAATTAATTTTAGGATTTTATTAGTTTTAAAAATTTTGAAACTAATTAATAAAATATTAGTTATTATCAGAAAAAAAAATATAATATTTTTTTCTTCAAAGTTCAGATAATTTTTATTTTTAATTTTTTTTAAAAATTATTTTATTCGATAAAAATAAAAAAAAAATTGCATTTTTAATATTTGTTTCTAAAAATAAATATTATATATAAAAAGCAAAGATTATTGCATCTTTTATATATTATTTTGTTATTTTTATTTATAAAATGTTTATTTTCAAAACTCATTTCCATTTTAAAAATTACTTTTTTTAGTAATTTTATTTTGAGCAATCGTTTAACAGATTATTTGAAATTTAAATTAATCATTAATTATTTTATAATTTTCATATACACTGAATAAATTTAAATTTTTTGATAGTTTGCTTAGTTTAATTATTTCTTTTGAACTTTATTTCTTAAATTTCAATTTAAAAGTTCATATATATTATATTATCAAATTTCACTTTATTTAAAAATTTATTTATTTTCTAATTAATTTTTTTTCTATTTTGGTGATTATTCTTAATTCTAAAATAAACACTTCCTAAATTTATGGTTATGTTAGCAATTTACGTAAGGAAGGGGTTATATATTGCTCTAAAATATCTATTATTTCATTACTCAATGTTTAGAATAGAAATAATATTTCTCAAAAATTAATTGTTTTTTTAAACTGTAAAAATACTTAATATTGGAATAATAAAATAACATTTATTTGAAAAGTTAAATTCCATATAATAATTGTTTTTTTATTCTTTCTCTTATTTTTATTTTAAATCAAAAAAAGCCATTATTAATTTTTCTTACATTTATTGAGGTTTTAAAAAAAATTAATTAAAAATAAAAAATTAATATTAACAAATAATACTTTTAAGGCAGATTATTATTATTTATTAAAACTCTAATAATCATATTTTATTTAAATAATCATAATTTATATATAAAACTCAATGATTAGGCTTTTATTATGATATAACATAGGAATGTCATATACTTAATATTTTTTCAATTATATTGAATTTATTTATTTAAAAAACAATAACAATATATTTTTTAAGAAAAAATGATTATAAATTATCAAAAATAAATTTATTACTAATTAAGTGTTATTTATTTTATTTACTTAAATGTAAACTTATTTATTGATTTTCATAAATAAGAATTGTGTTAAACTTTTATTATTAAATTTTATATATTTAACTTTTTATATTTGATTAATATATACTTATTAAAAACGAAAAAATTAAATAAATAAAGTATATCTAAATGATTTTTATTATAATATATTTAATTTAAATAGGATAAGTAATAACATTTTTTTTTTCAGTTTTCTTCTTCTGCTTCTTCAAATTCATCTTCATCTTCTTCATCATCATCTTCATTATCCTCAATTTAATAATCTTCTTCTTCATTTTCACCATCTTCATCATCTTCTTCTTCCTCTTCTTCTTCTTCCTCTTCTTCCTCTTCTTCTTCTTCTTTATTTTTAAATAATTCAATTTTAAATTTAATTTTAATTTTTAAATAAATTCATTATAATTTTTAATTTAATAATATCAAATAAATATAAAGCATATATATATATATACCTATATCTTAACATTCTTCATCTTCCTCTTCCTCCATTTGATTAATTTTCTTTTATGGTACATATTCTTATTCAAATTATGTATTACTTTCTATAAAGTGGTTACATATTCCTTTCTCTTTTTTTTTTTTAAAAAAAAAACAATATTTATAACTATAAAAATTTCAATAAAACCTTTTTATTAAGAACTATTCTATTCAGAAATCCAAACTTTAATTTATTAATCATCAGAACAAGAAATCATTAATTATTTATTCTTAGGATGAAAAGTGACAAAATTAACAGGTTATTTATGTGCTTTTATTTTGTTCAAAATCTTACTATTGAATTTATACCAGACATAAATTTGTCCTGATTCACATCCTTAAAATATAAAAGAATCTCTCAGTCCACCAAAAGTACAATTTAATTAAAATTTCTTTTATTAATAACCTTCAAAAGTACTTATTTTTTCGTTTTATTATATATCCCACATTTAGATATTCTATTTTTTTTTTGTAAATTAAACTTTTATATTATTTATATATTTATTACTGCTTATTTAAGTGATGTATTTAACAATAATATTTATTCATCTGAACTTAAACTCATTGATATAATAGGTTCTTCTTATTCAATTCTTTATATAAATAATTTTTTATCAAAATGAAATATTATTTTTTTAAATTACGTCAAAGTTATTTATTAAGTTTATAAATTTTAAATTAAAATTTTATATTAAGCTGCACATAGCATAATTATTTATTAACCTTTATTAATAAATATTATATCTTTAATTTTACAACTATTGATTTTATTAATTAACTTTTTTATTTATATTTTGATGATATATATTTTTTTATTTATTTTTACATTTTTTCCATTAGGATTATAAACTAAAATGTAAGGATCTGCTCCTGCTGTATACATATTATTATCTACAGGATGATATGCAATACATAATATAGAACTTTAATGACAAACAATATTATTTGAAGGATTGTTTTTGGAAATTTCACAAACAGAATTATATTTGTTAGCATTATATATTGCCACTTTTCCATCTTAAAATCCTAAACTTACAAACTAATCCTCATTATCAAACGCTATACAAGTAATATCCGAAGTAGTTTTTTTATCCAATTCTAATTATTGTTATTTTGTTAATTTATAACTACTACAATCGAAATTCCAAAAAATCACTTCTTTATCAGAACCTATACTAACTAATTAATTTCCTTAATTATTAAACTTTATCATCCATATCTTTTTTTATTATTTTAAGAATAAATATTATTTTTTTAACATTGATTACTTCACTTTTATGTTCTTTTATAGTTTAAATGCAAATATTTGGTGGATGTACTTATTTGCATATATGATCCTTTTTATAATTTTAATAAGTTAATTAAAAAAATTATATATTTTACGTCTATTAAACTAAATCTTTATTAATTATTTTAAATATGGACTGGACATTAAAGAGTTTAATAAATAAGACTATCTTTTATTAATTTCTGGTAATTTTTAAATTTTTATAAATATATAACAAATAAATTTTTATATAATAATTTATTTTTTAAAATACTTCCATAATATTAGGTTCTAATAAATTAGGAATTTTACAATTTTTTTATATAGTCTAAATTAGGTTTTTCCTTGAATTTTATCCAGATTTCCAACCAATTTTTTCTTAAATTTCTTAAGAATTTCTGCAAATTAAAAGCGAAGATAATTTAAAAATGTATTCTTAATTGAAATTAAGTTAAGTTATTTCATCTCTTAATACATTTAATGCTTATTCCGTTTGTTTATTTTCTATTAATTCTAAATATTTTTATTTTGAAATTAACTATTTTGCTTTCTATTTTTTTATTAATTAAAAAAATATTAGAATATTAAATAAATAATATCATACATCTAAAGATTCTTAGTTCATTTATGTTTATTTTAAATATTCTATAGCCTTTTAACAAAAATATATATAATAATTATTTTATTTTTTGATTATTAGAAACTTATTGCCATTATCCATTCATAATTGATTTTTTAAAATCCTATATAATTTCATTGTCTAATGTAATTTTTGATTCTAATTACAATGTATCAGCTGATTTTCTATATTTTAATTAAATTTTATTTACATATTTTTAATTTAATTTATAAATGATTATACTCAAGCCCTAAGTTTTACATAGTTTAAATAATTATTTTTATTATTTCATTTTTTCTTATTTAATTTTCAAATATATTATCTTCTATTTTTTTTATTTATATTAGTTGTTAAATATGCAATATAATGCAAAAAAATATAATTGATATTAAAAATACCATTAATTTCTTAAGATATACGATATAATTGCTGCTAATTAATCATTTTATATATATATATATATTTTTTTTTACGATTCTTATTTTTTAAAATATATTATTATATATTAATATTTATAAATATTATTAATTTAAAATTATAAATAACAAATTATTGTGCAAAAAAAATAAATTAAAAAACTATTTATAAAATTTGATTTATTTTATTTTTTATATAATATTAGAATTTTGTAGTTTATATAATTATAAAGAATAATATTAAAAAAAATATTTAAATAAAAAAAAATTAATAAACAAATAAATATAACATTTTGTAAAAAAAAAAAACTATTTAATTTTATTAATTTGCTTTTAAAAAAAATATATATAAATAAAAATAATAAAATATAAAAAAAACTTATTTACATTATAACTAAAAATAACATAACAAAAATGATAGCAGAAGACGTAGGAAAATATTTTTCAGGAACATAAAAAGAACTTACAAGACTGAAATAAAATTTAAATAATTTGCAATAAATTGAATAAATTAATTGTTTTCTATTATATATAATTTAATACTTATTTTTTTTTTGAATAAATAAATAATAAAATAGCTGACCCAAATTTATTAGGAATATATGGAAGCATAAATGATAATGTAAATAAAATTAGCAATGAAATAGAAGGAAAATTAGAAGATATATTCTATAAAGTAATTTTATAAATATTTTTAAAATTTTATTAATAAATATAATATATGTATTGATTAAAGATGATGAATAATTTTGGGGTCTCCGCATAAGAAATAAAATAATTATAGCCTATTTTGCCAGTATAAGATAATATTGAAAATTTAAGCTAATCCAACGACTAGAAAGGTAATTAAAAAGAAAATAAAACAAATATTAATAATTATTTATAAAAGAGTCTAATATGCAAAAGTCAATTTAGTAAAAAAAAAGTAATAGGTATTATTAATTATTATTATATTTAACTTTAATGATTTTATTTTATAAAAAAAAGACTAATAAATAATCAATGTTTCCATAATTTTAAAATGAATATCCATAATAAGATCCTCGCAAAAAACCACTAGGAAAAAATCTTTATAAACCAAAATATGTCTCTCAAAAAAGGCATGAAAAAATTCGTAATTTTTTATTAAAAAATTATTTTAATTAAACTAAAATTATTTATAGTCTCAGAAAATTAATTAAAAAAAGAAAATAAACGTTATAATCAGTATAGACATTAAGCTAAAAATAGTAGTTTCTAGATTTAATAAATAAAGATTAAAAAGAAGGATTATTCGAAATGATAAATAAAGGTAAATTATATAAAAACACAGATCTTTCATCTGCCTTTTTTGGTCCTTAATCAGGTTCTATAATAGTAACTTAATAAGCAAAGTAAATTGAAATTTTTAATTTCAAAATAAAAAAATATAAAAAATAAGATTTTTTGATAATATCGAAAAGAATGTAAAAAAATAAATAAGCACTGGCACAGAAAATAAAATTTAAATGTTCAAGCTCGAATAACCTGATTTTTTACCTTCTATATAATCAACTTAATAAATAAAATAATTATAAATATAATCTAATATTAATAATATTTCAAAATAAAAAATGAACTCTGATTTGAATAGTTTTATGATAGATACTTTTCCAAAAACATCTTCTTAATAATAAAAGGAAATTAATTTAGATATTTAAGACCCTAAAACATATCCTTAAGTATTAGATACTTATTCTTTGCATCATTTTATAATAAGAAAAGTAAACATATGTATAGAAATATCTTCTTATTAATTTTAAATTAAAAATAAATAAAAACTACAATAATTAATTATTTTTTTATAAAAATATATAATTAAAGGGTAAAACTTTAGAAGAAACTCCGGAATTTTAAAGTTATAAAAGAATGTTTTCGAAAGAATGGCCTTATTTAAAGAACATAATAAAAAGCCTGGAAAAACTTATGAAGGATTATGGGGTTTAAATTGCTTAAATTGATGGAAAATAACTTGTGAATTATTCATAATAAAAGATAATACCATAATTAGAGCATTTAATAGATTCTTGTATAAATTAAGAAGATATATTAAAGGTTAAAAAATAAAAAATAAATATAAAATAAATTAAAAAAGGTTATAAAAATTCCAAAACTTCAATATAGAGGTACTTAAGGAAAAATTAAAGCAGCAACAAAAATACAAAGTGTATGGAGAATGTATAAAAGTTTAAAAGAATATCAAAGAATTTAAATAATGGTGTAAAAAGTTAAGTTTATATAAAGTTAATTTCGCTTATTTATAAACAAGAAATAAACTCGAAAAAAAATAATTATAAAAAATTAATGGGAAATAGATTTTCATAAAACTCTCCAATAAAAGTTTAAAGAAGATTGGAATATATTAAAGCATAAAAACAGAGTAGAAATTCATATTAACTCTTTTTCATTTGATGAATTGAAAAGACTTTCTATGGAAAAAATTTCATAAAGATAAAATATCTAAATAACAAGGATATTCGCCCTTAAAGATCCTTTATTAGAAATTATATATATTTCTCCTTACTAGCTTTCAAGTGAAATAGTAAATTATTACTATAAAATTTTAGAGTTAGGAGATATACAGAATTATAAAGATAGACTCCATTTTATTTATCCTGAAAACTCTTGTTAATTCCCTTCTCATTTTTCAACTTCATCTCTTCTCCTTTATTCTCCATAAGCAATAAATAGAATAAAAAAGTTAATAAAAGGTATTTTTTAAAAAAAAAATATTAATTAAACTTAAAATTAGGTAAATAAGCATTTATAGTGCCTGGATATCCTTCAAATGATGATATTAGACTTTCAAAAAGTATTGAAGCACCTTTAATGTGTGGTGAGCCTTAATAACATATGATTTATTCTACAAAATCTGGTTCAAAAAGAATTTTTAATATATGCGATGTACCTACTCCTCCCGGTGCCTTTGAAATTTATGAAGAAAAGGAGTTCATAAACACTTTAGCTATTTTAATTTTAAACAATATAAAAATTGATACTTGGTTATTTAAAATTGATGATGAAATTAATAGTAGGGGAATTGCTTACTTAACTGTTGACAATATTTCTTTTATCAAAAATTTGAGAAAAATAAATGCAACAATAGAAATAAACTAAGATTTACTACATAAAATATAAGAAGTTTTAACCAAAAGCCTTCCATCAAAAATAAAAATGGCGATTCCTTCACTTTATTAAAATTATAAATAATTTATTAATTATTTTGTTAGAAAAGGAGGTATTATTGAAGCAAGTCCTACTTATTAATCTAACTAAATAAGTTCACCTTCTATATTTTTTCAAATAGATCCTGTAGGAGCTATTAAAGTACCTAAAATAAAATATTTATATAAAATAAAAATTACATACATATTATAGGTATTAGGTTCTTATGATAAAATAACAGGCCCATAATATAGAGTTATAGGTTGCTCAGGTTCTTAATAATCTCTTGTAAATATGAACTTAGAACTCATATGTAATATTATTGGTAAAACTTTATTTGAAAAAGGTGTTTTTGGTTATATTACTATTGATTTGATTGCTTTTCCTGACCCTTCCAACTATAATGCACACCCGCTATTCTGGGCAATTGGTTTAGATTGTTTTTTAAATAATTACTCTGCAGCATTTTTTTACTTTTATTTTTTGGTTAAAGGACATGCTAATAGTATTACTGGCGAATGTATTTTGGAATAAAATAGCAACTTTTTGAAAAATAGTTAGAGTTTATCTTAAATAGTAAAAAATTAACCTAATTAAATTGAAGATACAAGATCTTTTGTTTATTGCCCTTATATTTAGCATTCTGGAATTGAATAATTATAATATAAAACTTTCTTTCATTTATGTAGACTTGAATAAATATCATTTGATATTGAAAAAAAATACGGATCAACCTTTATTTTAGTTGATTCTCTTTAAAGCTCTTTAGTTGGAATTATGACAGTTGGTAACTTTTATTTATTTTTATATAATTATTTTTAAAAAAGCTGAGAATCAAATAAAAGGATTGTAATACTTAAATGATACAGTTAAATTCCTATAAAAGCATTTAGGAAATTTAAATGATAAATTTTATTAATAAAATAATGATTCCAAGTAAAAATATTTTAATAGATAATTTTTTATTTTATATATAAAATTAAAAAGAACTGATAAAATATACTTTTCAGATATAGTAAGTAGACTAAAAATATTGTTAAGAAAATACGAAAGAGTAAAAGATTATGAAAGTAAATCTCTTTCAATAAATAATGGGTAATATTATTTATACATTATAATTATTTTTTATTTATTAATATTATATAAAGTAAAAGTAGTATTTATTTATGATTTTGAATATATAAAAATATGCATTTTAAATATATTCATATAAATAAAAAAATTAATTTAATTTACTTAAAATAATTAGTAAACAAACAAAATAAAATAATTGTATTTTTTAAAAACAAATATTTGTATATTAATAAAAAAAAAATATATTTTTTTAAAAAACTATTGCTATTTTATTTAAAAAATATTTTTAAATTTATAATTAATTTTATTTTTATTTATATCACTTTATTTATTTTTTTAATTAAAAAATGATATAAATAACATAAATTGATTGATAAAATAAAAAGGAAAAAATTTAATAAATATATAAAAAATTAAAAATTCATATTTAATAATTCAAAATTTAAATCAAGTAAATATTTGCTAATTCAAACTTATTTATTTTTTTGTTCATTAATTCGAGTGGAATTAAATATTTTTTCAACTTTTTACTTGTTTTTAATTATGTTTTTTACTTATTTTTTATTCAATCCTTTTTTCAAAGTGTTACTTAAATCACATTCATTAAAAATTTATTTTTTCTCAGTTTATTCCAAGTTACTAATTTTGAAATTTTCTTTTAATGAATTTTCAGGTGAATTAGATTTTTTAGACAAGCATTCGATATTTTAACATTCAACACATTAGCATAAACTTGAACACTTAACTCCATTTTAATGGCAAACACAATATTTTTTTTAGCAATGAGAATTTTTACAATTACATCCTTTTATATGAGAATTATTAATAATTACAGGCTCAAAAGCATTTTTTATTCTCTTTTTTTTCTTTACTATAGCTTTTTATCTCTCTTCTTCAAAATTAACAAGGTTATGACAATCCTCACATTTGCATTCTTAAGCACAATATTATCCAGCTGCAAAGCAATCACAGTATCTTTTTAAGCATTTGCTGTTTTTGCAGTTGCAAGGTTATGATTAATCATCATTACTATTGTTGTTTGTGTTTTCCTGTTTAGATATTTCTCTTTGTTTCTATTATTAAAAATTTTCAATATTATTTAATAATTTTTCTTCTATTTATCCTTAAATTTATGTATTTTTTTTACTTATTATTTTATTTTATTATTATTTTCAAATTAATCTATATTTTATTATTAGTTATTTAAAGTTGAAATTATATTATTTTAATTTCTAGCTTTTTATTTATTGCCTTCATTGTTTTAAATTTTCGGATTAATATTCTCTTAATAAGCATAGCGATTATCATATTCTTCATGTATATCTACTTAATTTATAATAGCATCTAGATTAAAATCTAAAACATTTTTATCTTATATTTACTCATAGTCTTATTCTTAGTCTTTTTTTCTGATTTGTTTAAGTATATATATTTTTTTATTTTTAAATGGGTAAATATTATATTTTACATAAGTAATTTACTTCTGATCACATGATTACATGTCTAAATTGTCTTTTTTTTCTTTTGCTTGTGAAGATTTTTAATACTATTAATCGTTAAAGAAAAAATCTTAGTATTAATAGTTATTATTATTATTATTATTGCTTTGATAGTTATTATTCCCATAGCAATTACAGAAAAATTAAGATTAGCATTCATAATTTGATTAATTATATCTTATTTTTTAAAAAATTAAATATGTTAAACATAAATAATATACTAATATTAAATAAATATGTCTAAATAAAAATTAAATATTTTTTTTTTCATATCAATTTATTGGTTTTTATTTATATTATTTAGCATATTTTTATATATATTTTTTACCTTTAGCAGTCTACTTATCTATTCTTTTAGACTAAGTTATTAGAAGAAGCCATACATAAATTATTGTAGTAATTAGGAAGCCTTTTCGGTGTATATATATCTTGTAATTAATCAAAGTTGCTTGAAGAATAAATATTATTATAATTATTATTATAATTTGTTCGGTTATTATTTTTTTAGAAATTAAATGACATTTTTTTAAATGATGTAAAAAATATACTTTTTATATTTATTTATTAATTTTTTATTTATTTTATATTTAATTTTTTAAATATTTTGCATTAAAATGCAATAACAACAAAATATTTATATTTTTATATTTAAATTTTTAATTTTTATATTTTAAATAATTTTTTTATGATTTTATTTACATTAATAAAAGAAAATAAATAATATTATGATTATGATTATATTATATAATCATAGAAAAAATAAATTGAATATTTATTTTTTATAAAAATAACTTAAAAAAATTATAATATATATAAATATAAATAATTTTTTTTCATTTTTATAAATAAAAATAATTTTTTATTTCATACAATTGATAAATAAAAAATAATATTATACAAAATATTTAAAAACATTTATTTTTAACATTAAATATTTTATTTTTTCTATCTATTTTTTTTTTTTAAAAAAAACTCTATTAACAAAAAAATTTTGTTATGATTTTATTTTTTATTTAATTTTTTAAAAAATCTATTTAAACAAGTTTTAAATATGATATTTTATATATTTAATTTTATGATTGACTTTTTTTAATATTATTAACTATCAAAGCTGATATCAATATATTAAAACATAAAAATTTGTCTATGCATTAATTAATTTATTTGAATAATAAATAAAATTATTTTAACAAAAGAAAATGTAAAAAAATTAACTAAATATAAATTTATTTTTCATTTTAATTATATTATTTTATTTTTTTAAAATAATTGCATTAAAGATTATATTTATTAATTCATAAAATATTATATTTACTAAAATTAATATAAATTAATGTTTAAAAAAAATTAATTCAAAAAATAAGATTTTTAAATTACGAAAAAAAAATTGTATTATTTAATGACCATTTTCAAAAATAACTTAAATACTAGAATAAATATATTTTTTCGTTTAAAATTTCTTATTTGTTAATTTATTTGAAACTAATTATAACTTTTAATATAAAAAACATAAATAATATTTATTATTTAAATCATTTTGATAAAAATATAAATATAATATTAAAATAATAATATGAAATAGATTTCGAAATGTATATTTAAAAAAGCATATAATATATTATTTTATAATATTATTATTTTTTTATTTATTATGAATATAGTTAAATTAATTTTATAGCATTATGCAAAAATTAAAGGAATAAATTATAATAAGATTTTATTATGTATTAAAAATTTATAATTTTACGAAATAAGCATTTTTCAAAAAAAATATTTAAAAAAATGCAAGTATTAAAGAAATTAACAAATTAACCAAACATATAAAAAGAAAAGATGGATTAATTATACTAAGATGTTATAGATTCAAAAGGAATTTCCGATGAAATTTATTATTTAAGTTAAGACTAGTTAATACAAATAGTATTAAAGTATTCTCATTATATTATAAATTATAAAAAAAGAGTAACTCATATTATTGAATAATATGAAGAATTATAAGAAAAAAGCAAAATTTATGATTTATAATTATAAGACTAATAAATTTTAATAAATAAAGAAATATAGAAAAACATGTTATTATAACAACAAGTTAATTAATTGCAAAACGAAGAAATAAAAATAAAAAGTAATAATAATATATTTTTTTTAGTTTACAAAATATATAGGTTTTAATTAGGGTTAGTTTATTTAAATTTTTACTGATGATTTATATTTAGAATAAATATGTAATTAGTTTTAATAAATAAAATAAGATGTAGATTTGATAAATTAAAAACTTAAGAAATCTGGAAAAGAAATAACATTAGAAGAATAATAAAAAAGAGATAAGACATAATAAAATTAACAATAAGAAGAATAAGAATATGATGAATATTATACTTTAGAAGAATTAATTGGGAATGCATGGGATAGTTTTGATGAGTTTAATTAGAAAGCAGAAAACATAAAAAATATTATAAAAAACAATACAAATTAGCAATAATAATAAAATAATTGTATAGATGCTTAAAATTAAATAAATAAACTAGAATAAGAAAAATGTAAACAAAAAAATTAAGTATTTAATTTAAATAAACTTCTAAAATAGAATAACTATAGCAGATTTATACATAATTAGAATAAGATTTTAATTTAATAAATGACGATTTAACGAAAGAAAAATTAGAAATTAATAATTAGAAGAAAAATAATAGAACTAATAAAATAATAGTAATTGCTATATTAATAAAATCAATAATTATAATAATAATAAGATTAATATAAGTAAAAAATAAAATAAGAAAATAAAGATTACAATAATCAATTAATATAAGAATATAAATAAGATATTTTAGATTTTAAATAATAAATTAACGATTTAGAAGAATAATTATGTTTGAAATCTTAAGAATTAGAAAATAAAGCTAAATAAGAATAATTAAAAAACTTTTAGTTTTAAAAAGATTTACAAAAAATGGAATAAAAATATGAAGAGTGTAGATAAAATTTAGAGAAATAACTTATTGAAAATTATAAAAACATATAATTAATAAAATAATATGAAGGAAATAAAACTAAAGAAAAAAATAAATTACTAACTGATTAAAATACTAATTTAACTAATTAAATAAATAACTTAAAGGAAGAATTTCAAATATATAAATAAAAGACACAAAATGAAATCAGTAAACTTTAAAATATTAATGAAAATTTTAAAAATCAATGTAAAGAAGAATTTAATAAAAAACAATAGAGAAAGATATAAAAATTTAAAGTTTA